TATGTTGGACACTTTGGGAAGAAAGAAACTCCAGGATATTCTCAGAAGCTAAGAGAGGAGCAGCAGATCTGAGGGCTATCATACATATTAGGGCTGTATAGTGGCTGAAATCATTGGAGCTATTCACAGATTACACTGTGGATGACATGTTGGGGAAATGGGGTGAATTTGCAAATTGCACACAGACCATGTCAGTAATGAGTGTGGCTTGGACCCCTCCACCTGGTGGATTCTTGAAATTAAACTTTGATAGGTGTAGTAGGGGAAATCCGGGACAATTGGGGATTGGGGGTGTTTTTTGGGATGAGAATGGGGTCATTTCTGCCATGTTCTCAGGCCCAATTGGAGTGGGTGACTCCCTTAGAGCTGAGATTTTTGCAGTTATGGAAGGTATCCGGAAAGCTAAGGAGTTGAACATCAGGAAACTCATAATTGAAGGGGATTCAAAGGTGGTGATAGGGTGGCTGATTAAAGATAACAATGGCTTATGGAAGTACAACAATGAGAGGAGGAAATTCAAGTGGCTGGTGCGGGAGATGGAAGTTAAAATATGTTGGGTTAAAAGATCGGCTAATTCCCTAGCTGACGGTTTAGCTAAACAAGGGGCAGAAAGGGATTCACTGTTTTGGGCTAAGCTGTAACTTTAGTGTTTTTTCCTTTTTTTTCCTTTTCTTGAGGTTCTTTGTTGCTCTTGGAAGATAAGTGTGTTTGTCTTCCTCTTGTAAATCTTCTATTGATGATTTAATGAAAGTGTTATTGATAAAAAAAAAAAGAGCTCAATCCATGATAAATAATCTGATATCCTTGAAAATCCTATTCTGTGTCCTCCTTAGCAAAAATCCTTCATTTCTCCCCTTCCAAAGACAAAATGGCAAAAGGGGTGTTCCATATTGAATGGTACCTCCTCAAAGGAGATTGATGGCCATGATTAAAAAGTTGGGAAACTAATGTTGGGATACAATTGTTTGGATGAATAATGGAAAGAGGTAGTCGTCCATAGAAGTCAAAAAAGAACCCCAGGCTGACTTCTGATCCCCCAACTCAATCTACATTGCATTATTTAATATTTCTGAATCTGCTTATTAGTTGCAAGATTTTGGACTCATGACCTGTTTCAAATTTCTCGTCTACATTGCATTATTTAATATTTCTGAATCTGCTTATTAGTTGCAAGCTTTTGGACTCATGATCTGTTTCAAATTTCTCATCCCAAGACTTATTTTATATATGGAAAGAAGTCCATTCTGGACAAATAGGGTAGCTTAGATTTAGTTAATCAGATCCTTTTTCCTCCCTCCTGTTAATCTATTGAAGTCTTATTTTCTGCAGATTCTTTTGGAGGTGCCTTTTGATGGCTCTCAGACCCCTGCATTCCGAAAAGAGTCAACAGGAAATGAATTGGCTTTGGTTCCAATGCAACCTTCAAGGTCATCTGTAACAATTGCAGGAGGCCCTGCCCTTTCTAATGGTTATTCAGCAGGTCATAGCTCAAACTTGATTCAGGGGAATAGTTTCAATTCAGTATTAACGGATCTGGATGATGGTTATGATCTCTTGAGCACCATGACAAAAGGAGATAAAGGAGGGTTGGCAGGATTACAGAACCTGGGAAATACTTGCTTTATGAACAGTGCTATTCAGTGCTTAGTCCATACGCGACCTCTTCATGAGTATTTCTTGCAGGATTACAGCGAGGAGATCAACAAACAAAACCCTTTAGGAATGCATGTATGTGGCTGTTGTGTCTTATTTTCCATTCAGCTTTTTCTATAGGAGTTAGTCTTCTAAAATTAATCCAGTGGGTTCATTTGTTTATCCTTAGTGTATTCTAAAACTTGATTATTTGTTGTTGCTATGCAGGGTGAGCTTGCAGTTGCATTTGGTGAGTTGCTGAGGAAATTATGGTCTTCTGGTCGGACACCAATTGCACCACGAGCTTTTAAGGGGAAACTTGCTCGTTTTGCACCTCAGTTCAGTGGGTATAACCAGCATGATTCTCAAGTTAGTAGTATTACTACAATTCCCAATCTCTCTACTTTGCTAGTGTGTATGAATCTTTATGTTCCTTTCAGAATTTCTAGGAGGCTATGGTGTTTTTCATATATTTTTTAGATGCATGAACAACACTGTTATCCATTGAAGGAAGGAAAATGGAGTGAATAAGAGAGGAAAACAACCTTTAAGTAGTACCATATATAAATAAATTTTAGTTTTCATTACATTAGAGTGTTGTTTGGATTCTTCTGTTATGCTTATTGCATTACTTTTGAAGATACAACTCTAGTGTTGTAACCCATGTAGTGTGGAAACAAATATCATAGGCTGTTGAAAGGGCCAACATGGAAAAAGTAGTCGTACAAGACTACAGATTTGAACAGAAAATAAAAGAAAAGTTAGAAGAGAAGAGAAGAGAAGAGGAGAGAGATGGAGAAGAACTTGTGGAAGAGTTTCAGGAGAAGAGAGTGGTTGGTTGTGTTAAAACAGCCGCCCCACCCTTTGAATTTATATACATGGTTTCCTAATTGTGAAAGAACTTTAATGCTTACATGGCAAGATAAGATAATTAAAACTAATCCTAGATAAGATAGAATAGGATTAAAACTAATCCTACTAGGAAAGCTGATCCTAATCAAAGACTTGATTAAATCTAAGTACAACTCAGGCTGTCACACGAGTACACTAATGTGGGGTCCACAGTTTCCTACAGAAAATATGCTCCTCTGGATTGAAATTGATATCAAGAGAACACTGTTTGATTGATTTTTTTTTCCGAGTATTTAATGTACTGTGGCACCTCATTTCATACTGAGATAGATACTTTGTTGGACCTTTTTCTACTTGATTGTGGCAAGTGTGAAAACACTTATTCAAGTCTGATAGTGGCCAATTTGTGGTAAAATGCCAAAGCTATTCCTATCAAGTCTACCCCTCCCAGGACCCCAAATAGCTAGGACCAACACTGGTTAATGGCCTTTTTTCAATATTCTTTATTTGGTTGATATCTTCTTTTTTCAATGTTGACATGGAAAACTAGGATATTATTAGCAATAAAGAACATAAGAATTTAGAATGAAAATCCGATTCAATGTTTGATTTCTTCTAGGTTAACTTGATGAGAGAACACAAGGAATTTTACTAAATTTCAAGGTTTGGGTTAAGGTATTCAAATCATGTGCGGCACTTGAATATCCATGATGTTTATGCCTTTGCACATAGGATATAACAAGAATTTAGGGCTTGGGAAAGTTAGGGTTATCAAACCAGGTAAAGCATATAGGCAGATTAGCGATGGCAAGAGCTAGGACTTATTTAGACTGGACTATTGACAGAACCATAAATGTTTAATAAAGGGTTAGGTGGTTAATATGAGTTCAACAAGTCTAATTACAAAACATATCTATAGAGGATTATGGGGGCATTAAAAGGGATTAATGACAATCTGGGGTTTATTTCCTTGTATTATCTCTGTCTCTTTTTGGCTGCAGGTTAAGTCTTTCATCAGATCTAAACTCTAAAGAGCCTATTTTTGCCCTCTTTTTTATCACCACAGCCAAAAAGAGGTTAATCTTTATGGAGGGGTACAAGGGTGGCTATTCTATGGACTTTGGGAGGGAAAAAAAAATAACAGGGTCTTCCTTGACAAATCCCAATTATTTGGAAGCAGTGATTTATGGAAAGTGTGGTGCATTGGATAAAGACTTCAAAGCTGTTCTCCTTAGTATCATGTGATGACATTCTTAGGAATTGGCAAGAAGTAGCTAATTCAACTACTACAAGATCTGGAGCAAGGGCATTCCGGATGCCACAATGTAAAGTTTGATGGGCTGATGCTCAGATGGGCTGATGGGTCTATCTTGAATCTATTCTCAGGGCCTTTAGGGTATGGAGATTCCATGAGGGAAAAACTATTGACAGTTTTACAAGGACTGAAGTTAGGGAAAGAATTAAATTACAAATGGATCATTGTGGAAGGAAACTCAAAGGTAGTGGTGGAATGGGATGGCTAAGAGATAACACTAAAGAAACCTGGAAATACAGATACACTTTAGGCCCTGTTCACTTTTCGGAAAGTTAGTTACCTAGGTAAGTGCATTTACCCATGTTCTTTTATTTTCCAGGTAAACAAGACACTGATCGTTTTAGCTATAAAAAGCCATTATTAAAAGGGGCAATTTTGTTCCATCCAAGTGTTGGCAACTTCCCCCCAAGGTGGGAAAGTTACTTACCCACCTGGGAGATGGGTATCACTTACCCGGGTAAGTGAGATACCCAGGGAAAATAAATTTTCCGTAGACTCTACATAAATCTGAAAAAAGAACATGGGTATCTTGGTAAATGGGAACTAAAATCCCATTGACCAACTTCCCCCTCTCAAAATCCAAAAAACAAATGGTTCAAATGAGATCATTAGTAGAAGAGTTGAATGTCAACTTTCAGTGGGTTCCTAGAAGTGCTAATAGTATGAGTGATGGCTTAACAAGACAAGGGGTAAACTGAACTGATATGTATTGGGGTGAGGTTCCAAAGGGAGCCTGCTGTAAGATATCTTGGGTAGACAGGAAGTGCTGGTCTACAAGCTTTAAGAGAATACTATAACAAACATGATTCCTCACTAAGTGGGACACCTCATAAGTCTAGGTGGGACTTTATTAATTAACACGTGCTTAACTCTTTTATGGCCTTCTGCACATTTAAGTATGCTCTACTATAGGTCCATTAAGTGTTTAATGAGTTATTATTAGGGCCCAACTCTCTTTTAAATTGATTTGGGCATGCTGTCCACTTAAATAGACTTTATTGAAGGGTTCTCTCTTTCTTAAATAAGTTGTTCCGGCCCCCTATAGGACTAGGCCTAGAAGATTGGTTTACAAAGAGAGGTTTTATAAGTTGTGACTGGGAATAGTTTAATAGCCTACTCCGAAATCCCAATCCAGCAAGAAACTTAAGGCTTCAACAAACATGTGCAGGGCATATTGAACCTTGGTGCTGAAAACACTTGAACATTTCAGCAACATGCATTCTCCAAGGATTTTCAATTAAAACAAATATTTTCATGATGAAAAAACCACTCCCTCTGTCCTTTAATTTTCAAACCTGAGTTCCCCCAACTTGCAACTGGACATTCAAGCAAACTCTTCCTGGTAGCCCTCTAAACAAGATTTTCCTTTGAATCAGCCCCCCAAAGATGCCATAGAACTCAAGAGGCTCTAGTAGTAAAAGAGACCCTTGATATAATATTAACAATGAGAGAAGAAATGAGAGCAGAAAAGAGGAGGGAGCAGAGATCGTCACACCAATCTCTTTAATGAGGAGACCCTTGATATAATTATATTTTTTTGGTAATAAATAAAAAAGAAAACTCATTAAGAAAAGGAACAAGAAAATCTCCAATGGGGATGATTTTGTTAGGAGAGGGATATGAAATGTTGTCCAACAAATAACCCTTGTACTAATTAAATTGTCCAACAAATAGAATATTTTTAATGTCTATTATTGTACATGCATGCTCGGTCAGCCTGTTTGCAATGATAACCATTTGTTAGTTTGCTAATTCTGATGGGATAGATACAAGAAATGTTATCTATTCATGCTTCCATTATTTCCATTATGATTTTCCACTTAAGAGATTTCTTCCTTTAGGAACTTCTGGCTTTCTTGTTGGATGGACTGCATGAAGATTTAAATCGTGTCAAGCAAAAGCCTTACATTGAAGCAAAGGATGCAGATGGCCGTCCAGATGAGGAATTTGCAAGTGAATGTTGGCAAAATCACAAAGCTCGAAATGATTCAATAATTGTGGATGTTTGCCAAGTGAGTGGTTGATTTTATCCATAATCTTTATTGTTTTCTCCCAGCTCTATGGTTTCTGCAACTAATTGATTCATGGTTGCACATGCATCATAATGTATCCTGGAAGTCAGTAAGGCAATAGATGTGATCATTAGTGAATTGATCTCACCTTTTCTTCTAATTTCCAGAATCTGGTTGACTAATCTCAACCTGATTTAATTTGGAATCAGGCCCAAGGATGTTATAATACTATCTCGTGTGCTTCACATGGTACCCATAGTGTTCATAGGAAATATGCAAGTTCCAATAATATTTCTTTTCTGTACCCATGGAAATGGAGATGCCATGGAAATATGTCAACATTTTAAACCATGGTTACATGAGATAATATGTCTTGGATCTTGAATAAGTTTCATCTTTTGCACCAAAGAAATGGAAAAAGTTAAAAAGGATAAGTCTTTTCCTACTTGGGACATGATCGATCAGATATAATCGTCAGAATGTTTACTTAGGGATTGTGATTGGCTGGTTAAATGGGAAAATCTGCCCTGCTTTCTACTGTAATGGATTTGGTAAGGACTTAAGCGGGGTAGGCATGGGTTTGATATCTTGAATGACGACCCAAACCAGAGTAATGGCAGTGTTGGGTTTCAATGGTCCCTAAAACCCATTTGTCCGGTTATTATACCCACTCTATAAAAGGTAATACATTTGTTGAATATTTGGGGTTTAAGTGTTCAAAAGCTGATGTCTTTGAAGAGAGAAACCTGGTGATGGCTACCATATTTGGTGTTTGGTTTTCCACAAACACAAAGAAAAGGGTATATTATGTCTAACTGATCTTTTGAAGAAAATTATCAATTCTGTAGCCAAGGCTGAAAGGATGGTGATTGGAGTCTATTATTTGTTACCCAATGTGCTGGTACCGAGGGATGTGAAACATTTTATTTTTGAAAAGGTAAGGTAAAAAGATTTATTAATGAAGGAAAATTACAGAATAACAGCAACCTGGCGAGTGAACACCAGGATAGATTCTACAATACATTACAGGTCCCAAATGGAGTGGGAATCCAGGAGCTGAAAGACATTCTGATCTTTAAATTCTGAAATTACAGATAACCAAGAAGCAAGCCTATGAACCACCATCTCGAGCAGATCTTCAGGAGCTCTAGTTCTGTTGCAGAAGATACAACTATTTCTTTCAGACCAGACCATGACCAGAACAGCTGCGGGAATTGATTTCTAGACCAACTTCCCTTTCTTGCTCCAAACCAGGAAGTTTCCAAGTACACAGCAACTCCTTGACAGACCGAGGCATAACCCAGCAGATGCCTGCTGATTTGATGAAATGCTCCTATAACATAGCAGAAAGAGGGCAATGAATGCAGAGATGGTCACTAGTTTCAAGAACCAGTCTACATATGCCACAGTTCAGGTCAGGGATCTGAGCCCCACAGTTGCACAAATTGGATCTAGACAAGCATTTATCAAGGGCTAGAACCCAAACCAGAAAACTTGCCTTAGAAGGAGTGGTAGAGACCAGGTCTGCTTGCTAGGGAACCCCATATTAGCTCCTTGACTCAGCTTCTCAGCCATAGATTTGACTATGAAAACCCCATCATTACTCTACTTCCACTTCCACTCATCTTCCACTTCAAACAGAAACTCGCTGGTTCTGCAATAGCTTTAGCAGCTCCAACAGTTGCTCCAGTTCCCAGTTGTAGAGATTTCTTCTAAAGAGGGGACACCAAATCACATTCCCCTCCTCCCACTCAAGGGTTTCAGATACTGATGCATCAGGGGATAAGGCACAAAAGCAGAGGTTAGGGAAGACCTCAGCCAAAGGGGAGTTTAGACACCAGGGGTCCTTCCAGAATTTCACCCTCTTTCCATCCCTCCAAACATTCTAAAAAGGAAGGGAAATTTCTCATAATACCTTTCCACAAGGAACAGCCCCAATCCACACCATATTTAGCAGCAATCAGAGACCTCCACCATGCATCTCTTTCAGAGCTGAATCTCCACATCCACTTAAAAGGGCAGAATTAAAGATCTTAAGTTTTCTCACTCCCAGCCCACCTTTAGCAGGCAAACAGACCTGATCCCACTTAACTAAATGAATTTTCTTCTCATCTTCCCACCCCCTCCACAAGAAATTCCTTTGGAGGGACTCAAACTTTTTAGATTACCTTGGATGGGATGGGAATAGTGAAAGAAAATAAGTCGGGAGATTAGAAAGGGTGCTCTTGATTAGGGTCACTCTACCTCCTACCGAAAGACATTTAGCCTTCCAGGAAGCCAATTTCTTCTCCAATCTCTCAATCACAGGATCCCAAATAGAAGAGGAGGTGCATTTGGCCCCCAGAGGAAGACCCAAAAATTTCCCAGGAAGGTGATTCACCTGACAAGCCAAAATCTCAGCTAACTCCTCCAAAATTTCCACATGACCAACGGGAAAAATTACACTTACCAAGATTAACCTTGAGCCCAGTCACCACCTCAAACCAGCAAAGAATACCCAACATAGAATCAAGCTGCTCAGCCAAAGAATTAATAAAACATAAAGTGCCATCTGCAAATTGGAGAAGATGAACCTTCTCCTCTCCTGGAGAGATTTCAAAGTCATCCCACATGCCTCCATCCACAACCAACTTACTAAACTGAGTGAGGACCTCCATAAGGCAAATGAAAAGCAAAGGGGAGAGAGGATCCCCTTGCCTAATGCCCCTAGAACTCTCAAAGAATTCCGACACCTGCCCATTGATTAAGACTGAACACTTAGGAGAAGACACACATACATCCAGTTCCTCCATTTACGACCAAAATTCATCTTCCCAAGGATAAAGTCCAGACACTTCCAATTCACATGGTCATAAGCCTGCTCAATATCCAGCTTACACACCAAACCAGGCTTACCCATCCTCTTTCTGGTATCAATTAACTCATTCGCAATCAAGACACTGTCCAACATCTGCCTCACAGGAACAAAGGCACCTTGGTTCACAGAGAACACAGAAGGCAAAACCTTTTTCAACCTCTCTGCCAACACTTTTGCCAAAATTTTATAAAAGCTATTGAGAAGGCTAATAGGTCTGAAATCTCTTATGTTAACAGCCCCAGCTACTTTAGGGATGAGAGTAATGAGGGATGTAAGACATTTTTCTTTCTCTTTCTCGTTTTTCCCTTTTAAACTGCTCCAACAATCATAAGAGAAGCAAGTAGTTTATGAAATCACACCTTGAGATTAAAGTTTAAACATCAATTGGTCAATAGTGTTGATGTACATGGTATTGTCATGAAATGCACAACTTTTCATGCTTTTGTTTTGTATAGTTTGTATTTGTTGACAAAATCAAACTTAAGCTGATCTAGTTTTCAGTTCTTTGGTGCATTTTTTGCTATATAATATTCTGTTGTTTAGTTGCTGAGAACAAGCAATGTTGCCAATTTCTCAGGGTCAATACAAATCAACACTAGTATGCCCTTATTGCAGAAAAGTTTCAGTGACATTTGATCCTTTCATGTACTTATCATTGCCATTACCATTAAGTGTCACCCGGACAATGACAATATCTGTATTCTGTGGTGATGGAAGTGCTCTTCCCATGCCCTATACTGTATCAGTGCTAAAACGTGGTTGTTTTAAAGATCTTAGTCAGGCCTTGAATACTGCATGCTGCTTAAAGAGTGATGAAAGCTTATTGCTTGCAGAGGTGAGTCTACATTATGTTCTTTTAATTTTTCATAGGAACATTATTTCATTTGTGTATTATACTATTATTTTGTTTATAAAATTGCTGAACTAATGGATTGATACTTTCCAGGTTTATGAACATCGAATATTCCGGTATTTGGAGAAGCTTTTTGAACCCTTATCTATGATAAAGGATGATGGGCATATTGTAGCTTATCGGCTTCCTAAAAACCATGATGAATTGACAAGAATAGAGATAATTCACCTTGGCAATGCAAAGTAAGTCCTGCATAGCAATAACAATTTTCTTAGTTCCATATAAACTAAATGGTTTTCCATAACTTGGTCTCTTGTTATTACATGTAGGTTCAAATGTGTTTGAGCTTATGTTTGTTCAGAAATACAAGTTTCCAACCATATTATTATTTACTTTTCATTTTCTAAAGGAAACTATGGACATTTATTTCTATAATTTGGTGATGCCAATTGATCTTGATCTATTGTTCACCTTTTTTATGTATATATCCACCATATGGTCATTATTTGACCAAAGAAATTCATATGGCTTGAGGTTGGCAGCAATCTTTCTTGCGTCAGTTGTTTATTGCTCTACAAGTCCCCACCCCCCATGTGTGGGCTAGCTTTTCTATGCTTTTATGTGTCTTATTATTTACAAAGTTTTATGTTACAGAGGTACATCAGACATACTCAGCAGTGGGGATAGGAAGCTTTTTGGAGCACCATTAGTTACTTGTTTACCAGAGGGTGCACAGACTGCAGCTGATATTCAAATTGCCATACATAAAGTGCTTGCCCCATTGCTGCGAAGGAGATCAAATTTTTCTATTAATCATGTCAATACCAACAAGGAAAATGGCTGTGCTACAGGAGTCAATGTTGATAGACCAGTTAACAGCTGCAATTCTCAATTTGAATCCAGGAACCACAAAGATAAAATAGAACTAGAACAAATGACTTGTGGCGAGTCATCCTTCCATCTCTTTTTAACTGATGAAAAGGGTTTGAGCAGCAGCCCCATTGAAAATGATTTTATTATTAAATTCGATCAATCCTTAAAGGTACTGTTGGATTGGACTGATAAGGAAAAGGAATTGTATGATGCTAGCTACCTTGAGGACCTTCCTGTGGTATATAAGGTTGGACTTGCAGTGAAGAAGACACGGCAGGAATCAGTTTCTTTATTTTCATGCTTAGAGGCATTCTTGAAGGAGGAACCTCTAGGTCCTGATGACATGTGGTAAAGTTTTTTCACATCTTGCACTGCATTGTTATTTTTCATGTCAGACAAATATCTGTCTTACATCTTTCTGTTGTCTGTTTTTATTTCAATTCAGGTACTGTCCTCGTTGCAAAGAACATAGGCAAGCTACTAAGAAACTTGATTTATGGAAACTGCCAGATATTCTAGTTGTTCACCTGAAACGATTCTCATATAGCCGATATATTAAGAACAAGCTTGACACATTTGTAAATTTCCCTATCCATAACCTTGATTTAAGCAAGTATGTAAAGTGCAAGGATGCAGGACTTCAATCTCATGTGTATGAGCTCTATGCCATCAGCAACCACTATGGTGGTCTAGGGGGAGGACACTACTCTGCCTATGCTAAGGTGAGAGACATGTAATCTCCAACCAGCTCTTCCTTCTTAAATACAGTAGAGGACGGCATGATCCTACAATCTAAGGATATCAAGCAGATTTCTGTCTTCCTCACTAAGATTAGAATTTTTTTTTTTAAAGAACAAACCCTATGACTTAAGATCAGATTTTCAAACTCAGCTTTGTTTCTTTCGTGGATTTCCCTCGTATAATAAATAATAGTATTACAGATTCATAATTACATATAGGAATCCATCACTTTTAACACCAAATTGGACTCCTCACTGTTGCTAGCATTCTTCAAATCCATTATTACTGGTACAATCCCTCGTATAATAAATAATAGTATTACAGATTCATAATTACATATAGGAATCCATCACTTTTAACACCAAATTGGACTCCTCACTGTTGCTAGCATTCTTCAAATCCATTATTACTGGTACAAGTGATTTTTGGCTGGACTGAATTTTGAGACTGCTCATTTTACACAATGCGGTGTCATATCTAACTATTTGCTTTATATCTTTCTGAGTCCGCAGTTAATCGAAGAGGATAGGTGGTACCATTTTGATGACAGTCATGTTTCTCCAGTCAGTGAGGATGAGATCAAGACAGCAGCAGCCTACGTATTGTTCTATCAAAGAGTTAAAGTTGAACCTAAAACACAACCAGGAGGGCCATCAGATCCTCATTCTCCAACCTGTTGAAAACCGTTGATTAGAGGGGTTAGGTCGCATCATTTTATTTTCTAAATTTACTGGTTCGTCTCCCGCCAAATACTGCATTTCCCTAAATATCAATTTTTGCGGGATGCATTATCCATGCAAGAAGGGGCGGGGTTGCTGCCAATTAATTCAATTTCTCATCGACGAGGGGGAAGGTTAAATTTGAGACTGGTGAGAAAGCTGCGCCGGATTCAGAAAATTTTTTACATGATTCAGAAAGTTCACAAGTTGGTCAACAATAATCCATACTCAATAGTCAATAGTTTAGTTTGTTGTATAGGAAATTTTGTTGTAAATTTTCTTTATTTTGTTTTATCAATTTATTTATTTGGTTTTTTTCATCCTTGTATTCGGATGTACTACTTGTGGGCAGATACTGATTGGATTTTTATGCATAAAATTCTGTCCTTTGCCTTGATTCGACTTCCATTTCCACTAAATGAGGTTTAGAATCACTTAGGTTTATATGTGCAATACAATTAAGTGATGTTTAATTTTACAGCAGTGAAAAGTAGAAACATAAATTTGTTCTCTCTTTGTAGTAGAGATTTGTAACAAAAGGTTAATTTTTATTTTTGGTGGTAGGGACGGAAAGATTACTTGTTTGGATGTGTGTTTTCAGCAGTGGAAACATAAATGAAATGATTCTTTGGAGAAGATATTGACCAGACAACCTAAGAAACTGAAAACATAAACACCGACACACCAGGAAAAAAGGAAAACAGTAACATTTCATTTCTCTATCCAATCAAAAATCCATAGGGTACACGTACAACACTAATTAGTATACTTGCAATAAAATGGGTCCTATCCATTCCTGAACTACCAACGCCCAATTAGCACACGAACACACGCACACCTTACTAAAACCCCCCCTGCAAAAGTGAAAGAAAACATTGAGGTCGGAGGTAAATAAGACCATTTTATAATCAATTGAATCCTTTGACGCCAGAAGCTAAATACATGGGTGGGACCACGTATCAGCTCAGCCGTAGAGATAAACACTAAATTAACTTTTAATTTAGTGAAAGTCGGATAAACACTTAATTAACTTTTAATTTGAAGAAGATGAACAAAGATCAGCATGTCCTTACAAGCAATCAAAGAATAACAACATCGATAGCTGAGATAGAATTTTTTTTCACCTTTCCCCAACTCCCAGGTTCCCTCCCGTTTATCCATCCATCCACCTTCCACCACAATATGATAAAGCGAATGAAGCTTCGTTCCATCAAAAGAATAGCCAAAATGAGCTCAAGAACCCACAGAACACGGCCCCAGCCAATCGCAATTTGTCCTGAAAAGCCAAAATAAGCATATATTACGAAGCAAAAAGGAAAAAAAAAAAAAACTATGGACAGAAAAAAGGAAAAGTGTTTGATTTATCTTTTACAACAAAACAAGAAAAATAATGTTTCATCGCAGAAAATTTGATCTAACGTCTCGATCCTGCGGTGCAATTGCGCAAAGTACCCATCCTCTCCCACCGCCACCAGCCTTTGATTGAGAATTTGAGGTTCAGACCTCGGCTATCAGGCACACTATCATAACCGAACTACCACTTAGTTTTTTCATCGTTGGCGTACGTTAGATTTTTTCCACCCTTATAGCTAAGATGCGCCAAACCACAATAGTGGTCACTACGGTCACTGGTGTGTCACGGGTGAGTGATGATGACTCGAAAACCCTCGGCAAATTTTCATTTTTTTTATGTCGAATTAACAACCATACCATGCTGAACCAGATCTTGCAGAAGAGAAACAGGGAAAGAAAGTGGGAGTTTTGCGTTAAATACTTACAGTTACAGGAGAGGCAGATGATATAGATAAATAGCCAGTGGACGAACTGATGGGTTGCGAAGGACTGCCGGAATCATCCCCATCTCCGGTGCCGCTTCTGGTGCCAGTACTATTATTAGTTTTACTGATTCCAAGCTGATACGCGGGCGTTCCGTCAGGTTTAAAAAGTCCATAATTTCTCTCTGAAGTCGGCCCTGGCTTCATATTCTCATTAAATAAGGCAAAAACGTATATATTCAAATCACAATTGGGCCTCAAAGGTGTCCCTTTTTTCTGTGAAATCAACTTCATCAGATTCCCGTTATATTTTCTGGCGTTCTCCGGCGTCGCTCCGGCCTCATCTTCGTCCCCTTTCGACGGCCAACCTGTCTCAGATATCTGCACCGGCAGCTTCTTGTAACCCACCGAAGTGAGTGCTGAGTATACAGCATCGATTTGAGCGAACAGCATGTTGTCGTAATGGAGGTTCGAGATGGGATCCGAAACCCCTTGGTTCGGCTGAAAGAGAACGAAATCAAGTGGGACTTGCTTTGGGTTCGCTTTGTATGCGAAGTAAGGATAAGCATTGATGAGGAAAGAGGAGCCGGTTTTCGCATGGAAGCTTAAGATCGGGGTGATGAACTCCGTTAGATCTCGGCGGAAAGCTCCGGCAGAAGGGGGATACGAGGTCTCGAGCACAGCCAACGAGTGGGCAGTAGTGACGCTCACGTTCTTGTCCAAACCTAGGTTCACCAGGGCTGTATGAACGCTCTGCATTGCGGGGAGGAGGTACTCAGTCAGGGATGTATCGTTAAACGTCAAAACCTCGTTACCGACGGTGATACAGGTGATTTTCGTGGCAGGGAGGAAAGGCTGAACGTTGGTCTTCACCCACGCTTCGGCTTTCTCCGGATCTCTCATCTTTGCCAAGTATTCATTTCCGAGTCCGACGACGAATTCAACACCGGAATTCGCGAATGCACGAAGCACCCGAGGATCTGCATCGTAAAGCTTCACTTTATTGACGCCGATCGATCCGAGCAACGGAAGAACATTTTCCGGAGACGGGAGATTGTTCGCGATCTGGCCATAGTTTATGCCCACTGAAGCTACTAGTGCGGGAAACAAAAAACCTGCAAGGAGATAGGATTTGGGGACAAAGGGTCGATTACTTTACTTTCCGGCGAATGTGAAGGGTGTCTAAGGGCGGTGAGAAAGCAGAAGAAACCCCTTACCTGAGACCAAAACAATGACTGAAGAACAGAAAAATCTGCCGAAATCCATGGATTCAAGCTCTCACCAATCACTATTCGGCTAGTAAAAAAGAGAATGAAGAGCGAGTGAAGAGAGAAATCATGCAAAAACCATATTTAGGCGGCGTCGGGATCTGACGTCAATATCTGTGGTGTTTGAAGGTTGAGTAGATCTTCACGCGATGTAATTGTAAGGTATGGAGGTCTACCGTCTACAGAACGAATTACAGTTACAGTTAAAGCCGTTTCCGGAAACCTCCCACTCTCCCACCTTCAGCCTTGTGGTCTATCTGTCACACTGTCCCCTGCAGCGAGCAGTCGGTCTATGCGTCGCAATTCGGCTTGGGCACGCAACAGCAGAAAGTGAAGATGCCCAAAACGAAGTGTCGAACTGTAACTCTCTCTCTCTCTCACTCACTACAGTGGATGTGGACAAAAAAGCTCACGTTAGCTTAAGTTTGTGGACTGCTGACAACGGAAACCGCGGGTTCTGTTGTGTTGGGTTCAGACTTCAGACGCTCGGGGTGAAGGATGTGGCTGCACTTGGAACTTGGAGTTGGGAGGTGTTGCTGAGTCTGGGAGAGTGAGAGCAGCGTCAAAGACTCAAAGAGATAGAGAATATATAGTTAGGGCAGTCCAGTGCCGTCACACCGAAGACAAGTGTATTTATTATTATTCATTGGTTTTGATTTGACTCGTTATTACTATTATAGCTATCTATTATTATTATTATTATCAGAGACGGAGAGAGATTTTCTTTTTTTAATGTTTTTTCAAGTGATGTTATTTTATTGTGCTGGAGCCCATTTATGTGGTATTCCCAATCTCAGGTTCACATGGGTGACATTTATATTGTGATAAGCTTTTTTTGTAGCCTCTACCCCATTTTTTTCTTTTTCTTTGCCCATGTGTGGGGATGGATTGATGATATTTGATAGAGATGAGATGAGAGATATCCGTCGCCTTCGCTACGAAAAAGTAAATTGGGACGACCCCAAAAAGGCCACCTAACACAGGCTGGAATACTTTCCATATTTTATTTTGTTTTTGACCAATAGCCTAAAGAAAGCAAAGCAAAACCTGGTAAGCAAGGCATGGTGCCCAACAATACATTTCACACAAAAAGGAACAAGTTAGTTAATCAGCGCAAGCTACCTAACTTGGAACCAAGTTTATTTGTTGCCTTAAATTTCCGCAGTTAGGTTGGGGTTTGGACATTATGAAGCAAAATATGCCAAATATTTTGAGGTTTTGCTATAAATTATTGCAATGCGTTACTTGTCGTGTACATGTACATTTAATATATTCTGATATATAAAAAATGTTTAATAATTTTTTGGCTTCTCACACATTCTTGTGCAAATACCATCTTTCGTAACTGATGCCACTGCGATACATAACCAAGGTTCAAACGACCGAACTTTGTACTACATGCATTTCATTTTTTTTTTTTTTCTTTAGTTTGTTTTTTAATAGCGAGGGATAGATTTAACCATTATTTAAAAAAAAACGTATCGGTTAAGCGGCCGATATGATATGGGCGTATCGTGTGAATCAACTGAAGCTATAGACTGCTGGGTCTTCTCCCATTCAATCTGAAGCTTTTGCAATTTTAAGTGGTTTGAATCTGTTGAAAGACGTGAATCGATCTCCAGTGATCGTGAAATCAGACTGCCTCAAGCTATCACCAGCAAATGGAGCGGATTGGCGGAGTCGGATGCTTTGTCTTACTGTAGGGATATTTTAGAATTAGCAAACAACTAAGATAATGTTGGATTTGTTCATGTAAATAGATCGATCTGGCAATCTGTTGCCCGTCAGCTGGCCAAAAAGGGGTCTAGAAGAGAGTCTGGTTCTTTTGTGGGCTCCTGCCCTGAGTGGCTAACTATGCTGGCAAGTGGCAAACCAAGACTCAAATAGACCCCACAAGTAATGCTTGTGTTCTTTGTTTAATGTCATCGCTTATCTTCTCTTGTAGCAAAAAAAAAAAAAAGAAATGAAGCTATAGACGTGCCTCCTAAATACATATTTTGTTAACCACACGTTACGCATCCTTTGTTAAAAAAATAAAAAACTGTCAAAATTGTTCGAATGGTTAATCGCCTGGTTCAGTGATTCGTTAATCAAAATCAACAGTTTTAAGAAAAAATCCAATTTTTGGGAAAAAACAGAACCGACCACTTGACCGGCTCCTGGTTTTTCTGATCCAATCATCTAATCCAGTCCGATTTTGAAAGCCATGCCGATACGTATCTATTTCCGGGTTACAGATATGAAGCAGTGTGGAATGGAATGGAGCTTATCCACAATATTGACCAGTACATTCATGGCATCAATCTATAGTGGGCAAACATTAGAATTCAAATTTGTCTTGATAACTTCTCAAACCATGAAATTCCATTGATTACTTTAACTTTTTTGGTATATTCTGAATTCCAGCCCCTCCTATTACTAGCCCTTTCCCCTTCCCTATAAACCACATCCTGGCTGTGAATTTGGCATCAATTTATGGTCAAGATGCATTTCCCCTGTATTATGGGACTATAAAATTCTGATTTAGGCTGATTGGTCATTCTCCCTAAAAACTACAGACTTTAAATTAAAACCTTGGCATATAAAAAACAATAAAGGCAGTTCTTTTTGCTTCAGAAAGCAAAATAATACACCGGCAAAAACAAAAAAGTGAAACACCCTTGAATAGCAGAAGTAAGGTGTTACGATGGAAAAACAAAATGCCCTTGTACTGATCCATATCCCGTTATCCGAGCTCCCATCGTCTGTCCCTTGGGGACAGAAAATTTCCTGTCCCTTCCAATAGAACTTGAACACGTTATACATCCTTTTAACATTTGAAATTAACGGAGTCCAAGCGTCTGGACTTCAAAAAGTGATGAAATGCATTTGATATTTTGACAACCCACCCAAAGTCTCGAATCCTTTCATTCCTTCCTCCATCTCGAACTCCTCTTTTCTCCCTCTTCTTTTTCTCCCTCCTCTCTCACATCTAGTTCCACTGACCACCAGAGACTGTTGCTACCAACTACTGGAGATCATGTTCAACTGCTCAATCCTCTCTCTCTCTCTCTCTCTCTGAATTTTAAATTTTCATATGGCATGTATAGGTTCTCAGAGGTGGCTGAGCTCTTAGACGCTTGCTAGCTCAAAATGAAAGAGATAGAGACAAGATTGCTGTCCCCAAGAACAGGTTACGAAGCATACCTTGTGTTCAAGTTGGCGAAGAGCAGAAAAGGCCTCGACTTTCTCCAGACAAAGTTGTCTGTAAGGTTTGCCTGAACTAAGGATGGAGATATCCAGAATGTGTATCTAGATCCCTAATTGCCTCACTAGTTGTATCCTGGAGTGATTTACAACCATGTACATTGCCGTAGGTTCACCTTCTTGCAACCACCCATATTGCTGGATCGACACGAGGCACATTACCCTATGGAGAGAAAATGGAAGGATGAAAATTATAGAGATGGATGAGTTATTTAATGACATAGGAGGAGATGGGGAAGTGGACATGAATATCATGGAGGTGATGGATGGGCACTAGAAGGCTGGTCTTATCATCCAAGGAAATGAGATTAGACAAAGAGTAAATAAATAATATAGGCTTTTCTTTAGCTCTACTATGTATATATTATACACCTTTTCGTTTCAATGAATGTTACATATGACTATGAGAATTGAATAAGTATGTTTTGACAGAACCAATGTAAAATTCAGCTATATCATGTGTGTTTGTCATCCTTGTTCTTGATCCATTTGTGCTATGTGGATTCAAAAATTTCCTCAAAGATAGAACAAATTGGATTGGAAGCCTAAAATCTGTTAAATTATTGTTGGTCAGCTTCACATCATTATACTAAAATTAAATAACATTGACAATGTTTGATTAAAAAGATCGGATGTCATTATTACTTCTTTTTTTATCTTTTAATTTTCAAGAGCCCCTTCAAAGTCTTACTTGTTCCAGGCAAAAATGGATTGGTTGGCCAATTCTTGGTCCCTACCTCATTTCAACAAGAATGAGATATAGGTGATGAAAAATATCAATCATTTCATTAAAAGATACTACAACTTTTAACAAATTTGTTTGAAATGGACAATTGCCAACCAAAACTAGAAAACATTGTTACAATTCATTATTCTGTTGTTTCTCATTCTGAAATTCTCTCTCCCAAATGAGCAATTTGATATGGCTACATATCTTGTAGGGAATATTCTCGATTAGTACCCTATACTTTGGGTTTAGTGTTACTTTTGTCTCCGAACTTTAAAATGTGACAATTCAGTACCTGAACTTTTAAAATGTGGCAATCGAGTGCCTATTACTAGTTGTTAATCAGCCATCAAGTGATATTTTAAAAAGACATAAATGCTCTTTGAGTGTCATCTAATTTTCTTTATCAACTATCCAAACATTGACAAAAAAAATTAATAGTCCCAAATCCTTGCCTCTTCTATTCAAAAAAGTTGGGGTCACTAGAATGCCCACTCAAATGTAACCCCAACTTTCTTGAATGGAAGAAGTAAGGATGTGACTATTAATTTTTTGTCAACACTTGGATGGTTGATAAAGAAAATTAAATGGCACTCGAAGGGCATTTGTGTCCTTTTCAAATGTCACTTAACAATAGGTTAACTACTAATGATTAATGGCAGGTATTGGATTGTCATGTTTTGAAAGTTTGGACACTGAATTATTGCATTTTAAAGTTCAGGGACCAATGTGGCACTAGGCACAAAGTACACGGTACTAATCAGGATTTTTCCCTGTTTTGTAATTGCTAATCAATTTACTTGATTTCATTCCTAACCAGTACTTGATATTCTATGAGCTCAAACTAGGAGAGGGATTGGAGATCATTTTGACACTGGCAGAATTAGAGGCTTTTAGGGTACAAAGACCAAAACATAGTTTAATGCAACATTGAGTTGTTGTCTGCAGTTATTTCCTCTTAGACGTTTTTTTATTTTTTTATAACTTTATCTTCCCATGTCAAAGAGTCCAATAAATCGATTAGTTACAACAAAGAAAGTTGGTTTGATTAGGGTGAAACAGGAAATTCAGCACAACTGAATCTTGATCGCAGTTTTTTCTTTTTTCATTTATGAACAAACAAAAACCATTAAGCAGCAGAAGGTACTAATACAGAGTGAAAGATTTTCACCATTAGAGGCTTAGTTAGAGCTACATAATGAGTAACTCTATTACAATCCCCACTAATATCAAAAGACATACACAACAATATTTTATCTAGATTGTCCCAAAGTCCCCAACAAATATAGCCGAATCTGATCCATTAACAGCCAACATAGCCAGGAGAGAATCCATCCAACTCTCACCTTTCTATAACCCTCTACATTTTCTTTTTTGTCAAAAACATTTGTCTTTATTCACGAGAGAAGATCAAGGGAACAAAGCCTCATAAGAGGCACAAAAGAAAGAACGAAGCTATAAGTGATTCAAATCAATGTAGACAAAATCAAGCGGTTCTTGATGTAAAATGCCTCAAGACCAATGTGTCATTATATTCTCTAATGAATGGAATAAATCAAATCCTAGCCAGGAGAGAATCCATTCCAACTCTCACATTTCTACAACCCTCAAAATGTTCATTTTGCAAAAACGTTTATCTTTATTCAGGAGAGAAGATCAAGGGAAACAAAGCCTCAGCCTCATAAGAGGCACAAAAGAAAGAACGAAAACATAAGTGATTCAAATCAATGTAGACAAAATCAAGCGGTTCTTGATGTAAAATGCCTTAAGACCAATGTGCCATTATATTCTCTAATGAATGGAATAAATCAAATCCTGGCACTACTCGAGGAGAAACACAAGTAAGTGCCTGACATCTTGAATGTTGTTGAATGGCAGGCCACTGATTCTGTGATGGTAAGAAAAAAAAGGGGGGGGNGGAGGAAGGATGAGCGTGGTTTCCAGCAGTTAGTAGCAGTGATCTCCGACGGTTGGTAGCAGTGGTAGAAGTATGAAAGGATTTGAGAGAGAGAGAGAGATTGGTTAGAGACGAAGGAAAAAATGAAAGGATTTGAGAGTTTAAGCGGGACTCCGTCAAGTGCTGGCTTAGGGTCGTGTTCGATTCTCACAGGAGTTCGGTTTCAGTCCACGCGTCCTCCAATTCGTGTAAAACGGTTGAAGCATGTGAGGGATACTTCACTCTGTTAGTTAAGCAAAACCCATTTTTCGAGTACTCGTTCTTTTCTCCCTCTCTCCCCCATCACCGTCACCCACTGTCGTCTCGGACCCGCTCACTTTCCTTCCTGCGACGATTTTGACACTCACCCTGGCGCTGTCACTGGAAGATAGGGAAATCTTGACTTATCTTATCTCTTGCTCCGGCAGCTCGGGAAGCTTTTCCGGCGGTCGAAGTAGAAACAACCACAAGAGTCTTTCCGAAGACCACCCAAGTTCGTTTCACTGCAACTGCTTCAAGTGCTATACAAGCTACTGGGTTCGCTGGGACTCTTCACCTAATCGTCAACACTGATTCATGAGATAATTGATGTTTTTGAAGATGATTTGATGCAGAAGACGAACACGAAGAACAAAAAAGAGAAAAAGAAGAGAGTGTGCAACGAGGGGTCGGATGATGGGAACCGCCCCGAAGAGATTTCGGGAAGAGAGGAGCTGGATAATCTAGAAACGTTGGAGGTCTGCAGTGGTGAGACAGGCGAAAGTGAGGAAGCGGAGGATTTGGAGAAGGGTTCAGTAAGGAGATTTGTGAGTTTTATTGGGGAGAGGATATGGGGGGTTTGGGGTTAATGAAATGGCGGAAACTTTGTTGAGTTCTATTTAATGAAAGATTGGTTCAGATGTTGAGTTCTATTCTGCATTTTGAAACTTTGTTTTTCTGTAAATTTCCCTTTTTTGGAATGTAGAGAAGAAATGAACTTTCATCATCCTGATCCTCCATTTCCTTTTTCTCCTACAAAATCTCTGTTTCATTTATATACATTCTATGGGTTTTCATATATATAGATTTCGAATTATTAACTGGTTGGAATAGAGAGGGCCTGCTTTTGCTGATAAAAGGATGAAATTTCGTAAGTGGTTTAAGGTGCAAGACAACTGAAGCATTTCATTTTCAACTTGTCTTTCTGCTATTCCTTTTTTTCTTATCCTCATGGAGTCTTCTAAAATGGAATTTTGTGAAAATTTTCTAGATGTTGAAGTGGGATCATTACACTCAAACAAGAAATCCTCGTTCTTCATTTCCGATTATTCTTAGTATTGTTTTCTTGGAGTTGAATATAAAAAATTTGGATTCATTTCACCTGTGGTGAAACAAAGTAGATATTCAGGGTGATCTTTCTATTTAGTCATTATAGATTGCCGGAAATTGTGAGATAGACTCGTTTTGTGCGTTTGTAGAAGCGCCCATGTGAGATTCCGACTGCAGCCTTGGGAAAACTGGCACCTGGGGTGGTCTAATCTATAATGGAGTGGAGTCTGGTGGAGTCTCTGCACCCAGATGCAGGCATTCTTCTCAACGGCTGCCAGGCGAACGAGACATCTGCGGACATGAATCCGACTGACAACGGAGACGAGCCACAAGGCGTATGGAGCATTTAGTAACATTGTTCAGACGGTGCTGAAGGAGCACAAGACCAGACTTTGTAACAGAGAGCTGATGACCATGGTGAGAGCAGTTTTAAGGGAACAAGGCTGCAAGCAGCAACCTCTCCCTGAGGTTGATCCATCCGCCGGTGATGGTTGTTTGTCGCCAACGGTAATGAATGTTAAGTCGCCACCGGGTGAAAGTGGGGCGAGAGAGGGAGAAGAGAACGAATACTCAAAAATGGGTTTTACTTGACCAACGGTGTGAAGCATCCCTCACATGCTTCAACTGTTTACACATATTAGAGAACAAGTGGCACATCCTCCAATTACGAGTGCCCCGAGTCCCTGACTGAGGGTGCCTGGACTAAAGGCGAACTCTTCTCACAGACGATGTGAGTTCCCTTTATCCCATGGCCAATGCATTAATTCACTTAACAAATGGGCACAAACTACCATGACAATGAATAGTTGAATACAAGCCAAAAGGCATTTACTATTTATGCAAAAGATAAGACAAATCTTAGGTAATAATTACGATATTAGAGATATTTGAGCAATAGCGGAGGAAAAAGAAAACAAAAAGAATAGAGGAGAAAAGTCGTCTATATGTATACGTCAAAAGGCTATTTTGAGCACTGTAAATTACTACACAAGTCAATAATCAATAATAAAACAGTAGCAAGAAACATAAACCAAAAAGTGACTTGAACTTCGACCTATATGGTAAAACCACCTGTCTTGACTACCTATGTCATGACTTGAAATCATGGCACAAGAGAGGAATACATCACATTTGAAACACTTCCATGGGATCCACATACGTTACAATATGATGCTCCAAAATACCTACCGGAGGCTCAACCACTGCCGGATCTCGCCTGAAAGGAGAACTGACTTCAGTAACAAGACCACACAGAGAGGCATAAAAAACAAATGAATGAAAAAAAAAAGAAAAAACAGAAAACAGGATGCATAGGGATTGGGAATGGAAGGATGATTAGGAAAATCAGTGCATAGTCGTCAAGGTGTTGCGTTGCCTAGGTGACTAGGTGCCCTTGGCTGCACCCCCAACCTGAATGCCTTGACTTGCAGAAACAGGGCACCCACCCAAATTACAAAAATGACAAAGCAGGAGCTTCATTAAAATATCGTTCATATCTTACTAATATATGTAAAAACAACAAAAAAAAAGAATTTTTTTATACTAATATTTTCTCTTTCACTTGCTGTATATTAAATTTTATTATAAAAAAATCTAACTTTCTTTAGTTGCCAATTTGATATGAAATTAATATACTTGAAATACTAATGTCCAAGATATGATGATTTGCCATGTTTTGAGAGGAAATTTAGGGAATTGCTATTTTTTCAATTAAAATGCAAGCTGAATGGTATATAAAATTAGGGGCCTAGGCAAATTTTAATTTTTTATTTTATGAAATTCTTATCACCTAGGCACCCCACTGTTGCCCAGAGTCACTTAGACACCCTTGACAACTATGGATCAATGGCAAATTGGAACTCCTGAATAGAAAATGCACCTGATACTTCATGTCAGGAGTTGGTGATAAATGAAATAAATATTCATCAATCTGAACACGGATATCTGTCAGTTTAGGGAGGCAGCAGTATCAAAATCTGCTACTTTCTACCCTTCCACAAACAAGAGGGATAAAAATATACCAACCCCAACAGACTTCAGAATTGGATAGAATGGTAGGTCTATTTATGGGCCAAACTACTAAATTAAAAGGATGGTGGAATGCCGCTCCCCACCCCACGCCACATCAGGTGAAAACATCAGAAGCATTTTTTCTGACAAACAAAAGCATTGGCATTTAAACACTATATTAGAACAGATCTATACACCTTCCCCCATTTTGGTCTCCTCTAGAATCTGGTTTTACCAAATTAAAATTTTATAGGTGCAGCTTGAGGCAGTGTTTAGGTGTACCTAGGTAAAGGGGCAAAGCACATTTTGAGGCATTGACCTCACCTGAACCTGGTAAACCTTGCATGTTGGCCCAAGCACATACATTTTATAAATTTACCTTTTTTATTCTAGTACTTTCTATGCATTCTTTATATGTTCTAAACCTTTCTAATGGTCTATTTAACTTCTAGCTTACATTCTCTTGATGCTTGTGCACTAGTTGACTACCTGAAGCCAAGGTTCAAAGTATCAATACACCTCTGTGTATCAGCAGAGGTGTATTGGTACTTCGAACAATACTCCTTTTTTTTTAGTTTTTTTTTTCAAGTTTCAGTTACAAGTATATATATATATATAATTTAAAAAAATGGGTCCCCAAAAACACCAGTAAACAGTTGTATCGGTGTATCGGGGAGCAAAAGATACCATAAGATACGCCCGATACGGAGTGTATCGTATTGATACTTTGAACCTTGCCTGAAGACCTAGTTGTTGCAGAGAGGATATCAAATGGAAAAGTTCTCATTAAAGAAGAGAAAAAAAACTAATATCTAGGTTTGGGGGTGCTGGCCTCAAACCTCCACATGGGCTTGTTTGGGCCCAATTGCCCTCCAACATCATATTAGTTACTTCAAGTGATGCAACTGGATCTGTTTGCTTTTACTCTTACTTTGAATTTATCTTGTATGTTATGTCTATGTATTTTGATTTGATCCAATAAGATTTTTACACATTTTATTTAAATGCCTTTTAAAAGTAAGGTTTTCCATTTTTGTTTGTTTTATTTTAGCTTTTCAAAGAAAAACTCCTTGCTTGCTTTGTCCAACTGCACACCTCACCTTGCGCTTTGCACCTCAAACGCTAAAAGGTCCTTTGTGCTTTTCTTGCACCTCTTGCTTTTAAAACAGTCTTGGGGAATCCAGTTCAATCAGGTATGAGGATAAGCTAAACCTCTTAATTATTACAGCCTGCAGCCTGGTGGTGTAAGGTGATTCCAAAATGGTCCTTGGTTGGTTAAGGAGGACCAATACAGGTCCATGGTCTTATGGGTGCATAACAAGGGAGATAAGGCAATTGCCAGAGGATCTGGGATCAAAGCTATAAGTCAAGGTATGCCAATTGTGTGGCAGATGTGATAACTAATAAGGGGTCACTTGGAATCAGTTGTTCTGGGGTTTGATTCCTTAAATGGGAATTGTAAAGGAAAGCAAAAGGGTGGCTAGTGGTGGCTAGGCCAAATTTAAGGGTGTCTGGTATGCCACCATGAACATTAATAGAGTGATTAATAGTAAGACATCAAAAGCAGAGCAGGACCAGTGGGGAAATAGTAGATATCAGTTTCACTTAGAACAGAAAAAAAAAATAACATTGATCCTTTATTGGTAAAAGAAATAGCATAAATCGATACTAGCTCTAAGCTCTATGCATATAAAATGTGAACAGACTAATAAATTTTCTGCCCCTGCCTCCAACCCTAGCAAGGGCTTTATCCAAACATGGAACAACCCATACGTAAAAGGTTCAAGAAAGAAAGCTGTGAATATTAAATAATAACGTAATATTCTTTGTTTCTCAACTAAGGAGAAGAGCTTACCTGGTGTGGAGAGACTGACCGGGACTTTGACCTTGACTTTGATCTGCATTTTCAAGACAAGATCAGATGGATTAACCAAGCAAGCTGCAACATGGCAAAAATTCATCTGAAATGGTATGATAGCTCTTAAAAGAAAATAATAGTACAACAACCAAATACCTGGCAGGAGATGCAGATCTAGATCTTGATGGAGATCTAGAGGCAGATCCATCCAATGATTTACTGATAAAGAGGTGAAGAAACAGTCATCAACTATGTCGAAAGACATGAAAATAAGAAAAAAAATTAAGTAAACCACAAAAAAATGCCATGCACAGCATGATACCTCCGACTCTTCTTTATACTCCTGCTTCTGCTTCTACTGCGGCTTCTACTCCGACTATGACTTCTAGCTGGACTACCTTCATAGCTTCTCACCTGCAACAGTTAACAAACAAAAAAAGAAATAGAAGCATAAGCCCATTAAACTAAATAGCAGGAGACTCCTTGCATTCAAGCTTCATTTATTTAATAATTCATAAATTTATTTTTTCAGCATCAGGAAATCAAAATTTTGTTGATGAAAGTAAGAGAAAGTCCAACCATTTTCTGGTCTAGTTATCCACCTGACCAAGCAGAGAGCAGTTCATGTTGGAGGCAAAAACGTTTGCTCCTTTAACCGGGAATATAAGGAACCAAGGGTCCTCTATTCATGCTGCAACCCGCAAACCAACATACTATAACCTGGCAATCTCTTTCCACAAATGGCATTGTTCCAACCAGATGTATAGGCCAGTTTTAGCCCTTGGAGGAATGGCCTTATGTCTGAAGCACTTTGGTGTCAAATTTTGGATTAAGGGGAAAAAAACAGAAAAGATGCAGCATATTATGCATTTATTACTTGTTAAGTCTTAGCTTCATGTCATTTCACCTTTGTTTGCCAACAACTTCAATTTGGCTTATGAATTAGAAGCAGACATGCAAAATCATAGTAATGAATAGAAAAGCGACAATGGAATTCCTGTACATTAACCACTAGTGGTAAATTTTAATTGTCAAATCTTGAAACTATTCTTCTAGTGTACAGGAAACTGGTCATGCATTGACAAAGCTTTAACAGAACAACAAGTCTCAATAGCCCAATGCTACGAGTGGAGAGGGAAGCAGCTGATCTGGAATCCAAAGTTCAGAAGGCCTCTTCTAGATCAAGAAGTGGAAGAGCTTCTGGAAAAATTAGAA